TCTGGGCGAGTGGCTCTCGGTGGTAGGGGGGCTTCTCCGCGGTCGTGGTCGCGTCGCCGCGCCAGCTCCGCTGCGCTTGATCGCGCCGCGGGGCGCCCGCGGGACGGGGCGGCCATGGCCTTGCGGAAACCCAGGTGGCCATTGTCGAGCCTCCACGCGGCGACGCCCGGGGAAAGGCACGGGCGCGGCTCTTGACCCGCAAGGGTCGAGGTCGCGCCCGTGCCCTTGGCGAAGGACATTCTGAGCCACTTTCGCAGCAGATGTATCGCGGGCGCATCTGCCCAGAATACGCGCACGTGCACCCGCGCGCCGTGCGTCGAGCGGCGTCGCGAGCCTCGGGGTCGCCTGAGGAACGCCTGAAGCGTCTGGGGCACAAACGCGCGCCGCCGTGCTCAGGATGGTATTTCTTGATAGGGATCGCACGAATTGGAGGGTCCTCTGTGCGCCGGGAGAACATCATACTTTTGGAGAAGGATTCGGGCCGCGTGGGCAGAAAACCAAAGTTCATATAAAGGGAAAGGGCGGGGCGCATTGAGAGGCGACGGAAGGGGCGGCGGAAGGGATCTCAGGGACTTAATCTTTATAGGCTCTTTGCACTTATTCAGAAAACGTATGGACTGGGAATGACTGGGGCATTCGGAATTATTTGGCATGGAAACCGCGCCAGGTGGAAACGATGTTGGGGTCAGGACAGATTCTGCACAGAAGACGATTGGGCGAACCAAGATGCTGGAGCCAGGGATGATGTAACACAGAACGCGCTTTAGGTTAAGGGCACATGATGCACAACAACGCTTGGGGTGGAAAGGGCTTCGCATAGAAAGCGCATCCCAGCAAACACGTCTGTTCTCCTACACATCCATCCTAGACCCCAAAGCCCGTCCCAACCCACACGTCTTCTGTGTATAATCCGCCCTAATCCCAAACTCCTCCACAAGTACCGCGTTTTCATGCTTAACAAGTTCTTACCCCGAAATCCGTATCAGCACAAGCGTTTTCTGTGCAAAGTCCTTGATCGGTTCAAACCCTTCGCAGCCCAAGCGTCTCCAGTGTATCATCTTTCCGACCCCAAGAACCCTTCCAACCAAAGCGGTTCTGTGCAACATCACATCTAGCCCCAACATCCGCCTCCGCCAAAGCCCCTTTTTGCAGAATCCTCCCTAACCCCAGCATCCTCCCCAACGGAAGCGTTTTACCGACGAACTCCTTTCTAAGCTCAGAGCCCTTACCCGCCCAAGCGTTTTCTTTATAAAATTCGCCATGCCCCCCGAAACACGTCCTATCCAAAACCTCTTCTACGTACAAGTTTTAGCCACTAAATCCTTCAAAGCCAATGGCCCTCTGTGTAAAACAATTCCTGACACCAAAACCATTCCCAACCAACACGTTGTCTGTTGAAAGCGCGTCCTGACCCTGGAAATCTTTCCCGGCCCAAGCGATTATGTTTCCACCCTTCCCAAATATGTCGCCGCCCAACTGTTTTCTATTTTCTCCTAACCCCAGAGACCTTCCAAATCCACGCGTCGTCTGTGGAAGATCCGTCGTCAGCCCATGACCAGTCCTTAACAAAGCGCGGTCTGTAAACAATCCCTCCGAACCGCCAGGAAAATCAGTTCCAGCCCAAGCGATTTCTGTGCAAAACCTTTCCAAACTTCACAACCCTTACCAGCCCAAGCGTCTACTGTGTACAACCTTTCCGACACCCAGAACCATCACCAACCATAGCGACTTCTGCATACAATGAAGCATAATCCCAAAACCCTTCCCAACACAAGCGGTCTCTGTGTAAACACGTCCAAATCGATCCTCCCCAGTCCACGAGTATTCTCGATTAATTCCTCCCCAACCCCCAATTCATTCCCAGCCCAAGCGTGTTCTGTGTAAAACCCTTAGCAAGCCCAGGCCCATTATCAAACCAACCGTCTTCTGTGCACCATCAAACCCGACATCAGAATCCTTCCGCGCTTGCTGTGCAAAATCCGCCCCCCAGCCCCCAAATCCGCCTCGACCTAAATGCGTTCTTCCAAAATCCTTCCCAGCCCTAAAATCCTCCCCAACCCATGCGTGTTCAAAATCCTTCCCAACCCCTGCGTTCTGGTTTGAATGTCACTGTGGTTTGGAATCCTCTCTAGCAATTCTTGCTCGAGCCCCTCTCCACCTCAAGATTGTTCACTCAAGAGCGTCTGCACGCGCGCCCACATCACTAATGCTCGTCACCATTATTGCTGTAACTGTCTCCAGCGCACGCTACAGCACATACTTCCTAAACCAAGTAACGCTGTCCTGTGGCAAAAGCAATGTAGACAGGACGGACCAGGGAGGTCAGACCGGAGAAAAACACAGTATGATGAATACGATCACGACAGAAATGATGGGCTAAAGACCAGCGGCAACGGGAAATGATGCCCCAGCCATGGCACTACGAAGCACTGGCGTGCCGCCGCGCAGTGAGAATGACCAGCATGTGAAACAGGATGTGCCGCAGCATGCGCGGGGCGGGAGGAGGAGGAGGAGGAGGAGGAGGAGGAGGAGGAGGAGGAGATTTATCCGCACTTCCCGCCCGGAGGATCGATCCTCGGGGACCTCGGCGGGCGGTGAATCTGGATAGGCCTGGCCCCCATGGCCCGAACACGTTCGTGTCCACCACCTGCCGGTGTCCCCGAAGAGCGGTCCCCCGAGCGGTGGATGCGGACAAGTCCCCGCCTCGGAACATGCGAGGCTGTGCGCGAAACGTGCGTTGAACGGCTGCGTGGCCCCCGAGGGGCGCCAGAGGTGCCTCCCTCGTGGCTCGAAGGGGCCTCGAAATTCGGCTGCACGCAAGAGTGACCCTGGGTAAGAGTGACCTTTGGTGCGCGGCTTCTGAGGGGCCGCTGGGGGACCAGGCGCAGTCGTGCAAGACGCTGCTACTGTATCGCGTTCGGCGCTCTGTGGACCACTGTCCCGTACCAAAGGTCACTCCGGCGAACGGTCACTCTTACGTCTAGTCGAGACATGGAGAGACCAAAGCTACCAATACCACTATTCCCCGAACCTTTCCCGGGTACGTTCTAACGAAAATTTCGAGGCGAATCCCATGGTGGCGGCGAGGGCCTCCCAGGCGGCCCTCGAGTCGAGAGGCGAGAACGAGGCAAAGCTAGAAGCAACTCCTGGGAGGTCTTCGTCAGAACGATTATGGGCTATTAAATCCGATCGAGGGGGCATTGAGCCGGCTTAGGCCAGATTAAGCCTGGGATTTAGCAGGTATGAGAAGGATCAAGCCGGAGCAAGCGGGACTCAACGAGAGTAGGCCAGTTTTCGCCCCAGCACCGATTTTGAAACAACCTCCCAGGAGTTGCATTCTGAGCCAAGGCACCTGGAGGCCTACGCAACCTGTCGTCGCTGCTCTGCCAACCGCATGAGGATGCCAGAGACAGCTCAATGCACCGACCTTGCAGACGTGCTGCAGCGGATTTGTTGCGTGAATTTCTGTCAATGTAAAACCCCGAAACGGCGAGTGAAAAACGAAGTGGATTTCGCGTGGATTTATTTAGTCTTCGTTCCTGTCCCCGAAAACACCGCACGAAATTCACTTCGAAATCCGGAGCGAAATTCTGCAGGACACTCTGGGCCCATCCCATCGTTCTTCGAACGAGATCCGCTCTGCGATGTTGGCGCCATGAAGTCAGGCCACGCAAATGCCCCGACAGGCAGGAAGGGCCTCTCCGCGCGCCGCCTGGCACGGACCTGCCCGGCCGCGCTGGAGACAGTTGTTTGTCGAAATTCGCGATGGCCCGGGTTATCTGGGGGGGGGGCGGGGAGGAGGGGGCCAGCCGATGACCCAACCTTCGCGCTGTGGGCAGCCCTGCACATGCCCGCGCACCCTCACCCTGGACCTGCACATACCGGCAAGGTTAGGTTATCCTGGCCGGGGGGGGGGCGGACCCAGACCCCCGACGTCATGAGTTGTTCATGACGTCGACCCCCGGAATTCTGGACCCCTTCTCCGGGACCGGTTTTTCATCCTGAGTCGTTTTTCGACGGTCCCGAGGACCAGCGAGGGCCCCTGTAGAGGCCGAAACTTGCGAAACACCTCCGTCTTGATTTTTGTTCCATGCGTGTTCTCGCGGGCCCCCCCCCCCAAAAAAAAATGTCTCCAGGAAGCAGCTCCCGCCCAGGACCTGCTGGCAGGGCGGCGCGCCCCCAGCAGAGGCTCCGCGGGGGGCACCGCGGCTCTGCCCGGGCCTGCCGCGCCCTGGGGCGCGCAGACGCGGCAGGGCGCAGTGCCCGCGCCGAGGGGGGGGGCGCGGCGCGCCGCGGGCGGAGAGGAGCCCGGGCACCGAGCTCCGCGGAGGCCGCGGCGCTGCGGGCTGGCCCGCCGCGCCCGCAGCAGGCCGCACGGCACCTCGGCAGGCGTGCGGCAGCGCACCACGCTCGGCACCGCTGCAGGCTGCACGGCACCCTCGGCAGCTCGGAGCGCGGAGGACAGTCCGGGTCGGGAACGGCCCGCCCCCCCTCCCCATCGCCAAATGCTCATCGCTGCCGGCCCGACAAGAGCCGGGCCCTGGGGAAACCCGCGAGCAGATGTGGTGGCGGCGCCGTCTTCCCGGTCGCGGCGGCGGCCTCGAGGGAGAGAGCCCTTCGATCGAAGGGCGCGACACCTCGGCAGCCAAGTGCGATTTGGCCTCGGAACCAGCCAGCGGCGCCTGGAGGCAAAGCCAGGCACGACAGCAAGAGGCCCAGAGGAACCGAACGCACGCACACCAACAGCTCCCGCACCTAGCACGGCAAACTCCATCATTGTACGAGCGAATGGGGTGACGAAGAGGGGTGGGAAAAGGGAGGGGATGGAGGATCATCAGGAGGAGGAGGAGGTGGAGGAGGAGGTGGAGGAAGAGGAGGAGGAGGAGGAGGAGGAGGAGGAGGAGGAGGAGGACGGGAATTGGGCAGGAAAGGGGAGGACAGCCATCAGGATGAGGAGAGGGGGAGGAGGTAAGGGAGACGCCGCCAACGAAACCTTTCTTATCCGCTGGAGGCATAATGCTTCTTTGCGCTGCGCCGCGCTCAAGTCAAGGGTTGCCGAGTTCATAGGCAAGCATCCTCATCACTTCATCAACCTCTTCGGTCGAGGCGAAGGGAAAAAGGTTGTATTTACTCTGGATATCGGTGGCGGAGAACGACACACAGCGTGAACAGCTCCCGCTCCCCTTGCCTGACTCCTTGCACTCCTCGTCTTGCGCTCTCCTTGTTGCCAGGTGCGGCCTAGCAATATCCCGAGATGATTCCAAGAAGCCCAGCAACTGCCCCGAATCAGTTCAACGTATCTCCAAGAGGGCCTGGGTGACTCAAATGTGCCCCAACATGTCCAGAGGCGGCCAACCATGTCCGAAGCTGTCTCCCCGAAGCCGCCAGATAGCCCCGAGAAGGCTCACTGACGATTCCAATTCCATCGCCCCCCGATGCCACGCATCCCAGAGTAGAGAGGCAAACGGCAGAGGTCGATGCCCTGCGCCCACTAATAGTAGTTAAAATTCAGCCTGCTCTGCTTGGCAGGCGGTTCGGGCACATGTTGCAGATTGGAAGATGCGTGCGCCTGGAATTAAAGAATCAGCTCTGCCCAGGATGCCAGGTCGCTGGTTCAGCTCCGAGTCCCCTGAAACCTTCGGTGAGGAGGGCCTCGCCAGTGCGGAGGCCATCTGCTTGTGCTATGGTACTCCTCGGTCGAAGAGAATTGGCAGGATGCGTCGCCAACTGCAAGCAAACGACCCGACGTACTCCCATTCGCATTCCCCTCCCTGCCCCCCCCCCCCCCCTTCTACCCCTCAAGCTCTCGTCCCTCATCCGCCATCCCCGCCAGCCCCTCCCCTTCGCCCCCCCCCCATTCGCCATCTGTTGCCTACCCCCCTCCCCCAAACCCTCTCAGCTTCCCCTCCCCATCTGCCGCCGCACGCCACCTGCCCTTTCCTCCTACCCCGCAATCGTTCTGCAATCCCGCTATCACGCTACCGCAGATTGCTGTTCGGCCCTTAAGGGAAGGGGGAAAGATAAGGGATGCCGGGGCGAGCTGTCCTCCTCCTCCTCCTCCTCCTCCCTCCTCCTCCTCCTCCTCCTCCCCTCCTCCTCCTCTCTCCTCCTCCTCCTCCTCCTCCTCCTCCTCCTCCTCCTCCTCCTCCTCCTGCTCCTCCTCCTCCTGCTCCTCCTCCTCCTCCTCCTGCTCCTCCTCCTCCTCCTCCTGCTCCTCCTCCTCCTCCTCCTCCTCCTCCTCCGCCTCCTCCTCCTCTGCGCTCCTTTGCGCTCCTCGCTCCTCCCCCTCGCCCCTCCGTGCCACCTCATGACCGCCCCCCCCCCCTCCCTGCGCCCTCGCACCTGCTCCTTCTCCCTCCCCCCCCCCGCGCCCATGCGGTCAGGAACCGTTGCCCAGCGTATCGCCGCGGCGGCCTCGGCGACACGGCAGGCCACGCTTGGGGGCAGGGAATCGGGGGCGCGCAACCATGGATCGGGGGAGGTGCCCTCCCCAAAACGCGGCTGGTGGCGCCTCGCTCGGCGGCGGCAATCAGCGATGTCTTATGGAAACGGGACCCGTCGCCAATCCACGCCCCCTATTAATCCAGGCTTGCGATCGCCTGAGGGAAGCAGATAGCCTGCCGCACCGCGGCGTGATGGGCCAGTGCGGGCGGAGCGACGTGCGATCCCAGAACTCTCGCCCGTGCGCAGTGCCCCCCCTCCTCCCGCCCCCGCTCCGGCTCTGCGCGCCTGCCTGCCGCCGCGCAGCCTGCTTCTGTCGTCTCTCCTTTCTCGGCCCCCTCCTCCTCCTCCTCCTCAACCCTTCCTCCTGCTCCTCCTCCTCAGCTCTTCCTCCTGCTTCTCCTCCTCATCCCCTCCCTCCACACTCCTCCCATCTCTCTCCTCCCATCTCCTCCACTCCTGTTCCTTCTGCGCAATTCCTCCCCGTCGCACCCCCAGGCCAGTCGAAGAGGCGGGCCGGGCGTTTCGCCTGAGACTTCCTCACCATTGGTGAACCTGAAGCTTAAAAGCTGGCAACAGTTTCACACACAGGGGGAGAGGGCCGCTTCCAAAATGTGGCTCTCGCCTCAGCGCTGCACACATTCGCCTTCAACGTATTGAGGGCGGATCGTTTTCAAACTGTGGCTCTCGCCTTAGCGCCGCGCACATTCGTGATTAAATATTTGCAAGAGTTTCACTGATCGAGAGCGGCTCATTTTCAACATGCCGCTTTCGCCTTTGGGCCGAGCATGTTTTATAATATTCGCAGCAGTTTCATTATTCGCATGGTCAAAGTGCCAGAAATGGTGTTTTGGAAAAGACTCAAGGCTGTGAAGGCTTAACAATTACGTTGATTCGTGGTTTTGAAATCCCAGGAATGGCGTTCTGGAGCGATTCCGGACCGTCAAGGCGTGTCGCGCGGGCGGGCGAGAACGGAGAACGCACCGAGGCCGAAACGCCTCGCCGCGGTCACAAGCTGCTGCGCCGCCCGGCGAGGAGATGGCTGACCCGCGAGGGGGGGATAGCAAAGGGGGGGGGGTGAGAATCAGCTCACGTAGCTGATTTTCCCGGCGCCTGCCCATGCGTCGAGGAATGGGGCCTGCGGCGGGGCCGAAACCAGCTGCATGCAGCAGATTTCGTACCCCCCCCCCTTTCCCTATCCCCCCCTTTCGTTCGGCCCGAAAGTCCAAGGGGGTGGAAGCAGAAATCAGAGACGGGGATGGGCAGTGGCGGGAAAGGCGCCGCAGGGACGGACTGGGAGGGAAAAGCAAGAGGGCGAGAGAGAGGGGGGCGGGGCAGGCAGCGAAGATGCGGAGGGGAGGCTCGGGGGTCGGCAAGGCCATGAGGAAATCGCGGGGCTGCTTGCGGGGTACACTTCTTCAAGGCACGATCCGGCAAACTAAGGCGAAATCTGCCTCGGAACATTAGCACGAGTACCCATCGGTCGGAAGAAACAGGTAGAAAACATGAGTAGGAAGGCGGATAAAGTTCATTGGGTTCGGGCCCGCCCAGAGAATAACAAAACGCAGCAAAGGCATATCGATTATTGAAGTAGGTAGGCGCTTGAAGTAGGTTGGGTTCTGGGAATCCAGAAATACCTACTTTCAACGACCGATGGGTACATCAGGGACTGACTGCGAGGGACACCCGAGTGGACCTGAAGCCCCTTTCCGAAGGGCGACGCGTGCTCCAGTCATACGAAGGAGGGCGCCGGAGGCGCAACGGACGAGGCGCAGGGGTTGGCCGAGATGCCCATCAGACCCCCCGACCCCAGGAGGAGATCAAGGAGATCTAACCCAGACCCCCTCGAGTCATAAAAAATCACGACGGAAAGTTTTTCTCTATTTTCGGTCTCTGGGGGCCACTATCAGGCCTCGGGAGCGTCAAGAAACGACTCAGGATGAAAAGCTGGTCATGGGGACAGGGTCGGGACCCCTGTGGGTCGACGTCAAGAAAAAACATGACATCGGGGGTCTGGGAAAGGGACCCAGGGAGACACAAATGAAGAAACACACATTCCAAGATTCCCCATCTGCTTCCCTACTTTCCTGGATTTCCTGCTCCCCCATCCGTTGCCCATGTGTTCACACCTTTTGATGGAAATCTGCGCTTAGCTGTGTCTGTGTCTATGTTTCTCTCCTGAAGTGCGGCACCTGCGACAGGGGCAGATCCCACATGGGGGGGGGGGAGCACCACGTGCACCCGAGGGCCCCGAGCCACCACCACCCGTCCTCGACGAGGCTCCCGAGGCTCCCGACGACCGACGGCGACAACGACCGACGACGACGACTAAAATTCAGGGGCTCCGAGCCACTGCCCGTCCTCGACGAGGCTCCCGAGGCTCCCGAGGCTCCCGACGACGACCGACGACCACGATGACGACGAATTCATGGCAGCGCGCACAAGGGGGTGGAAGGAGGGGGGAGGGCTTATTAGAAGGAGGCTGCTTCTTAGAAGGCGCCGGCCGTACATTTACAGATAAGGCCCGCACTTTCTAAGAAGCAGGGGTGCTTCCAAGGAACCCTCCCCCCCTCCCCCCACCCCGCTCTGCGCGCCCCCGGACCGCCCAGACGCCCGCTGCAGCCGACACGAGGCGGCGACAGGGAGCCGCGGGGACGAGCGGGAGCGGGAGTGAAGGGGCCCAGGGTTATCTTGCCCCCATCGAACTTAAAGACCACATCCCAGAAATAATTTCGAGCATCTGGAAAAGTGTCGAAAGAGTGTCGTAACAGTGTCGGGCGAGTGTCTCCCAGGGCCCGGCACGTGAAAACCCTCGAGTTTCTGGACTTCTTTCTGGTGCTCGAAATTATTTCTGGTGATCGAGGCTAAAATGAGCTGGAACATCACAAGCCCAGGGACGCACGAATAAATACACACAAATCCAAGGATGCCCCATCGTTTCCCATATCCTCTGGGCTGTCGTCTTCCCCCCACTTCCCATATTTTCCTACATTTTCCGGGGGATCGACGATTCATTGTGTCTGTGTGTGTGTGTTTTGCCCGTCCTGACTGGAGAGGGGCACCAGCGCCAGCACGGGTGGGCGCCTCGGCAATCGTCCGGCGATGGGCTTCCCAGAATTCGGACGTGTGGGCAACCCAGAATCACATAAAAAGATAAAATGTGTCTTTGGTGGTGATTCGAAGTTTCCCATCATTCGAATTTCGTAAAACGTAGTGGCCACGCCGAGGGCCCCCGGTTTCCCAGAATTCGCCTTTTCCGAATCGCTGAATTATGGAAAGCCCCTACCTGGACGGCAGCCAGGCGCCTCAATCACGGGAAGATGACCCCAAATCTTGGTGTCGGCGGACAAATTCTGGCCTCCGCCGAGCCCGAAGACTACCACCATCGCCGAGGTCGGGATCCCCGTTCTCTCGGTGGAGGGCACGCGTGGGCGCCTCCACCGGGGGAACGGGGCTCGAACTAAGCAAGATTTGTGGTTTTCGTTTTGTTTTCGTTTTTGTTTTCCTTCGTTCTGTCTTTGTTCTGCCTTTGCCGCGAAACGAGATCAAAACAAAAACGGTCGACGAAATCGCCAAAACAACGTTCAGCTCGAGCCCTGCAAGGGGAGATGATCCTAGATCTTCGAGTTGGTGGCAGTGCCCCGGCTACCTAAGGAGCCCAAAGACTACCACAATCGCAGAGATCGGGATCCCCTTCCCTCGGTGGAGGGCACTGGTGGGCGCCTCCACCAAGGGGAGATGATCCTAGATCTTGGTGTTGGTGGCAGTGCTCTGGCCACCTCAGGAGCCCGAAGACTACCACCATCGCCGAGATCGGGATCGCTTTCTCTCGTTGGAGGCACACCGCCGAGATTGGTGCTGGTGCCCACCTCTGGGCCTCTGAAGGATCGGGGAGACGGAAGACTTGGATTCGGGGAACTCGGGTTGGCCTGACGGGGCCATCATGAAAGAGCGCGTTTCTTGACTCGCGGCGATAGCGGCCGTTATGGAGGGGGGCCGAGGGGGGGCATAACGTAACGACCCCCCCCCCCGCCGTGCGCGCGGCGGCAATGACGGGGGCGCACTGGGGGGCGAAGCGCTGCGTCGCTACGTTGTGTGTGTGTGTGTGTGTGCGTGTGTGTGTGTGTGTGTGTGGGCGGGGGGGTGCGGCGGGGCAATAACGCGTCGCGTGAGATGGCCCAAACAAGAAAGAAACAAACTCGCTGACGAAACCCAATCTGAAACTTGACGCGAACTCCCGCTGCAAAACATCCCACCAAAAAACTGGACCGTCAAACTCCGGGACGCGCTCGCCAAGAGGCGCCAGCAAACCAGAGCTCCGGCGTACACGAGCCAGAGATCCCTCCCCGAACAGGCGGAGAGCGAGACCACGGCGGGGCCGATCGCTCTCCGCTCCGCCCCTGCCGGCGGGGCGGCAAGCCTCCGCCGGCGCTCTGCCGCAGGCCTTAGGTCGGGCATGTCCTCCTAATTACAGGCGGATTTGGGGAGAAAAGCAAAACGTTGTCGAACAGTATGCAAACACGGAAGAAACATAACACACTGCCACACGCTATTCCAAACCATCGTCCCCAGACTAGTTACCGACTATGTCTGATTCTTCCTCCCGTAGAGGATGAAGGGGCCCTGGGACACACAAATAAAAGGATTCCCCATATTTTCCGATATTTTCTGAGCTTTTGTTTCCCGCCCAATTCCCATATTTTCCCATGTTTTCCTGGGAATCGGCGATTCCTTGTGCCTGTGTGTTTTTTCCCCTCCCGCAGAGGAGCAAGCCCGACTCAACGCAATGCCAGTCGGCGCCGGCCTCCGCCGCCGGGCACGTGCTCCCCCCCTCCCCCCCGCGGCCTGCTTCGGCTGCCTCTTCGAGAGGCCCTCTCTGCACGTCCCGTCCCGCCCCTGTGAGGGGGCCACGTGCGAGCCCTGCCCCCGCCCCCCACGAGTTCTGAGGGGGGGGGGGGTGTTCACTTGGCCTGGGAGCTCCCGAGCGAAGCGAACCCCACCCTCCCCCTCAGAAAACGGGGGGCAGGGGTAGGGTTCGCATGTGGCCCCATACCTGCCAGGTCGGCCTCGTCGACTTCGCGCCGAATGGACGTGAAGCCCGCGTCGAACCCGCGTCAGATCCGCGTCGAATCCGCACCGAACCTGCGTCGGCCAGGGAAAAAAACCTCAGTTCTGAGGGCAGGCAAAATCACCCGAAAAACAACGCACCCCAAAAATCCGCGACCGGAATTTGGTTCGATTGCAGATTCCGTCCGCGCCAAATGACGGTCGCTACCGCAGGGGCTCGACTTTCGACAACGAAAAGACGACGCGTGGGGGCGCAAGCGGAAATTTTGAAGACGCCGACGGCTCGCTCACAGCCGCAATGCGCAACCGGAGGCCGAATTTCGGTCGCGACCGGCTCGTTCAGAATGTTACCACACATTGTCAGTAACAAAAGATCTGGGTATCGGCGGCGATCCTAAAGTTAGGTCGGGCCTGTCCCCCTACAGGGGAATTTTCGACGAACAATAATACAGATTCAAAACATACTCCCAAATGGTCAAAAAATGCTCAAAACATAGTCCCCATACTATTTTTTGACTATTTTTGAACATTCCCCCTGTAGAGGGACAGGCCCGACTTAATCCCAAAGGGAAACGCAGAGGGGGCGGGCCTCCACGGAAGGCTCGGAAGGCCGTCCGAGAACCTGTCTGCGCAATCCCCGAAGACACACAGGCGGCTTCTCGGAAGGCCCGAGGGCTTCTCGGAGGCCCCGCCCTCTTCTGAGAAGGCCTGCTCCCTCTCGCTTCGCCCCGGGGCTCGCACCCGACGGACCCCGCGTCGTCGTCGCCCGTTCTTGTCACCAGCGTCGTGCGTCGTGCGTCGTCGTCGTCGTCGTCGTCGTTCTCGTCATCGGCGTCGTGCGTGGTCGTCGGCGGCGTCGTCGTCGTCCGTTCTCCGCTCGAGGCGTGATCGCCTCGGGGATCTTCTGACCCGGGTTCATCCAGACCTGGGTCAGTCGAGCCTTGCAGCATCCTGCAAGATCCTGCACCCAAGCCTGGGCCAATGCGACCCTGGCACTGCAGGATCCTGCAAGATCGGGCGCTCTGGCTGACCCCCGTTTGCATGGACCCCCGTCTCAATGATGGGCCTCTTTTCCACCACCACCACCATAAGTTGGAGGGGGGAAGGAGGAGGATGCGGAGGAGGAGGAGGAGGAGGAGGAGGAGGAGGAGGAGGACGAAGAGGAGGAGGAGGAGGAGGAGCAGGACCTCCTCCCCTCCAGCTCATGGTGGTGGTGGTGGAAAGCCGGCCTATCACTCTGACTACCTACCAGACCACCCCAACCCAACCCGAAGACCCGCATTTCGGGTTGGGGGGGGGTATGGGCTCCACATGTGGTCTCTCGATGTTCCCCGACCCCCCCACACTGGAAATGGAGGGCAAATTGAGGCCTTCTGGTTGGGTTGGGGTGGCTTGGTGGGTGGTGACACTCGAGGCTCCCGATCGCCGAGGATGCCTCAACTCCCGGGCCCTCCGCGGCCGGTGCGCGGCGGGAGGCGCGCAGCGGCGGGGAAGGCCGCCCGCCAAGGGCACCCACCCTCGGAGGGCCCCCCTCGGAGGTTGCGCCGCGGGCGAGCTTCTGCCCGTCGCCCGCCCTGCCCGCTCGTCGCTCGGAGGACCCAGAGATCCAGAGCACGGAAAACATTAGGCCTTCTCCTTCTCAACTCCCCCTCGTTCGCCGCCGACGTCATGGTCATGCCCGGTAACGGTGGCTACCCGGGAGAGGGGGGGGATTTGGGGCCCTGGGTAAAGGTGACAGTGACGCTTGGGCTGGGTGGGGCACGTCGGGACGGAGGTGGGTTGCGATCGTCTCAGTATGCGAGCGAACACCAGCATGTGGAGAGGGTCCAGGCCCTCCCCCCCCTTCTGCGTACGATCGTTAGTGTTAACGGGAGGTGGGGCCGCATAGCGACCGTTGCGCGCCACAAAATTTGAACAAACCTCCTCACATCTTCCACCATTCAGGTGACGATGAACCGTGATCGGGTTCCCGAATTCCCTCCCTCATCCCTCCTTCTCTCTGCCCGTCCCCCCTTCCCTCTGCACCCGAGAACCTCCCTCGCTGATGCTCCGAGAGCCATGTGTCGAACACCGCGGCCTGTCCAGAGCGCTCCAGAATGCTGTAAGAGGGTTCTGGAGCGCTGTTCGGCGATTATCTTTACCACTATGCCTGCCTGACTCCTTGAAGGGCGGCGCTCGACTGGGGGGCGAAGATTGGGGACAAACCGGGCTGGATGGATGCAAAGCACAAGCGCCGACGCGGCCCAAGGGCGGCGAAGGAAACGATTCATCTTAAAAGACCTAAGACTAATTTGATGAACTGGCACGTGCAATGTCGAGTGAAAGGCTGCCCAGCCGACATACGTTCATTCCTCGCCATATCATTCCCTTCTGTTTGCCTCCCTTCTCCTAGTTTTCCTCATACGATCTCCCGCTTTCTGCCCCCCTCTGACATCACGCAAGCGAGTGTTTATGTGTTGCCAATCTGATGTAACGCACATCTATGGCGTTGCAAGGTTCGCATCTGGCGCCTCCAGGGCACTCATGATCATCATCATCATCATCATCATCACCACCACCACCATCATCACCATCATCACTCCAATCCCCATCCTCATCATCAACATCAACATCAACACCATCAACAGCACCGTCATCATCATTGTCGTCGTCATAATCATTACCGTCACCGTCATCATCATCATCACCATCATCATCACAACCATCATCCTCATCCTCACCCTCCTCCTCCGCATCATGATCAGCATCATCATGATGAACCATCAGCACCATATTCAAAAACATTAGCATCACCATCATCACCAACATCATCATACTCATCATCATCATCATCATCATCATGCGCATCCTCATCACCATAATAATCACCAGCAGGATCGTCAGGATCATCACCATCACCATCGCCATCACGTTCACCATCACCTCATCACCACCACCATCATCACCATCGCCATCACCACCACCACCACCATCATAATCATCTTCATAATCACCATCGTCATCATCATCATCAACAGCATCATCACCATCCTCATCATCGTCATCATCACCAGCATCATCACCATTATCAGCACCATCATCATCATCATCAGCATCATCGTCATGGTGATCACCATCCTCATCTTCATGCTCATAACCATCACTATCGCCATTACAGTCACCATCATCACCGTCAGCATCAGCATCACCAGCAGCAACATCATCAGCTACATGCTCATGCGCATCCTCATCCTCATCATCAACATTCCCATCCCCATCAACACCACCACCATCAGCATCATCATTGTCATCAACACCAACATCATCCTCGTCATCGTCGCCGGCATCATCATCATCATCAAATTCATCATCATCATCATCATCATCATCATCATCATCATCATCATCATCATCATCATCATCATCATCATCCTCATCAACATCATCGGCATCATCATCATCATTGTCCTCATTACCATAGCTTTCAGCAGTACCGCCATCGCCATCAGCATCATCACCATCACCAGCATCATCATCAGCAGCATGATCCTCCTCATCATAATCATCAACATCATCATCTCATCACCTCATCACCATCATCATCCTCATCACCATCATCATCATCAACAACAACATCATTAGCATCGTCATATTTGCCATAATCAACACCATCACGATCATCATCATCATCATCATCATCATCATCATCATCATCACCCCCAACAACAACATCATATATATATATGTGTATACATATGGATACGTATACAAATTCACGTGTTGCCGATCTCGCCAATACGACTCCGCATTCTTCACAATCTGGCAATCATCGACAGCAAAACTGTTGATAACCGGTGGTCTTACGTTGGCTTTGTGATATGGATGGCGCGCGCGGCGCGACGACCTTTGGGCGAAAGAGAGCGTTGCTCGATCAATCTGCGTAGCAGTAAGGCCAAGGGCCCTGAAAAATAAGAACGGCAGCGGCGAGCAAGGGATGAAACCACAGGCCCCTCGAGGCTTCTGGGGATACCCTCTCGGGCCTCTTACATTCCTAGGGACTGAGCTTGATTCACACTCCTCCTAGTCGCCGTCTCGGGCGGCCTCTGACAGGCCTGAGCGGGGACTATACCAAACAAGTCACTCGCCGGCAAAACACGGAGATAATCATCGAGATGATCTATAGCGAGCAAGCGGCTTGCACGGCATACAAGGTACACTCGGCAATGGCAAGGGTTCGATCGCGATGCGACAAAACCCAAAATAATATAGCCATTTTCTCACGATACTAAAACGGGTGCGATCGTCGTCACAACACAAAAACTGCGCGCACTGAGACGAATGGAACTTCTCAAAAAACGCGGGGTTACGTGTGGATCTTGATCCGGGTGTACAAAGCGACGATTCGGAATACATAAATCTTTACCAAGCGTGAAATCTGAGCAACGATGCGGAATACATAAATCTGTACCGGGCGTGAAGTCTGAGCAACGATGCGGAATACATAAATTTTTACCGGGCGCACAGTGCGAGCGGTAGAACATTGCCGGTCCGATCGGCCCAACTGCCGTCCGAAAACCAAGCGGGGTTTACTGTTCTTTCTTCGGCTTCGCCGGTTTGTCGGCCAGGTCAGATCCTCGCCAAACGTCTCTGCCTGTGAGCTTCCACCAGCGACCCTTGAGGTCATTCATCACACTCTCCGGGAAGATGGTGGAATCGGGGTTGCCGAAATGATAATGCCGAATAAGCCACAACGCGTGCTTCTTGCAGGTCTTGCAAGTAACACATATATATATATACACACTGTGCGGGTTGTGGCCAATGACAACATCATGATGGGGAATGCCTGTCACACAACTGAGCATGTCATTCGGCTGCGCAGTCGGGGAGGGTCCGCTCCACGACACAACACTGGATGATGAGGCTCAAACGGAACTCGATGAACTCGTCACGGAAACCACGGTTGGTGATGCGGGAGCCGAACTTCCCTGCGACCTTGCTGATCCTGATCGTCCAGATCCCCGTGCTGATGCTGCGGCATATGGTGATGGCGGTGGCGGTGCAATGGCAGGCGGTGGTTCTGTCGGTACCTGTGGCGGTGGCGGCTGCTGAATCGTAGCAGATGCTACTGAACTCGATGCCTGTGCGCTGCTGAACACGTCCGCGTGGGACATCGTGATGCCACCATTGTGATCACGGTCCTCTGGAATGGTAGGTGGTATGTTGCGGCGTCGGCCGAGCACGCGGCCGTCCCAGCCAGGGTGCTCGCCCATGGCCTTCGCTTCGGCGACGCTCTCTTCGGTGGCGATCGCGGTGTTCTGCCTCATGATCGCCCAGAGCGGCACGAAGATGCCGAAACCGATAGTCATGCCGAGGACCAGCGTGAACGTCAGCAGGCAGATGTAGAAACTGTAGTCCGGCATAGTCGGCGTAGGCGTAGGCTGTCCCTTGACCTTGCCGAGGCAGGTGAACAGGACTGAAGCGAGCATGGCAGCGCGTGGCTGCCGGGTCCCGTAGGTGTGTCTGCGGGCCCCGAAGAACGACAGCAGGGCCCCAGCCTCCATCGTCTTCGCCAGGGCGTCCGCGACCGGGGCCTCGGTCGGGATCCAGCTGAGCTTGAGGGCGCTGTTGGGGTGCACGGCCTCCTTGATCATGGAGGCGACGATGCGGAACCGCTTGTCGGTAGACTGGCCCACGTCTGAAGCGATGTGCGTCACGAGACCCTTGCTGTCGCTGTAGATCTCCCCGGGGCGCTTGTCGGCGAGCACGTCGATATGCTTGAGCACAGTCTCGGGGTTGTAGGCCTCGGTCAGCAGCTGTGGGAACCACATGTTGGTCTCCGACCCCTCGAGGGTAGCGTGGCCCTCGGCAGCGAGGGTCGACTTCACCGACATCTTGACTGTGCCAGAGTGCCAGGCGACGGGCAGGCACAGGTCGCACCAGCCGCCGACGACGTCACGCGGGCGATGGGTGAGCCCCATCACCATGCCCCACTGGCTCTTGACGCCGTCCACGTTGGCGAACGCGGCGTCGATGAAGCACGCGGTGATGGCCGTCTTCAGGTCGACGAGCTTGCGCTTGAGCACAATCGCGAAGTTCGCGGTGGAGCGCACATAAGCGACTGTCTTGTTGAGCGTCTTCGCGTCGGCCACGGTAGCGACGTTGGTGCGTCGAGCTGCGAAGCTCACCGGGCAGGCGATGTCCACCCGGGTCTGCGCTGCTAGCCATGCCAGCTGCCCGAGCGCGTGGCGGTAGCTCGTCACCTCGGTGGCGGTGAGCCGGTCCTCAGCACCTCGGCCCTTCTGGGCCTTCAAGTCGACGTAGTCCACCTGCGCGGCAGCGGTGGCCTGGGTCACGCGGAACTCGTCGTCGAGCTTGGTGATCGTACGTCCGCAGTATTTGATGACCCTTCGACTGGCTTGAGGTGCAGCCTCTTCCCCAGCGATGCGATAGTGGTCTTCCACTAGGTGGAATTGTTGCGCGGGGCGATAAGGAAGTCGTCCACATGTGAGTAGACCACCGCGGCGAGCCCACCTTCGTCGTAGAAGTAGTAGAGGCCCTTCTCGAGCTTTCTCTCCACGAGGCCGTGATCGGCGAAGACCTCCTGCGCGTAGAGGTACCACTGCCTCCCGGCGACGCGCGCTCCGTAGATCGCGCCCGTGGCCATCGCGATCTCGCCAGGCCGGGTCCCCGGCGGCGGGTTCTTGGCCGGCATGCGCAGGAGCAGCGGCCTCTCAATGTTACCCGACTGCAGGCAGGCCGTCATCGCGTCGCAGGACGAGATGTCCCAGTCCTCCTTCTGGGCCGCGGCGGTCAGGGTCAGGTACAGTGCGTCCCTGGGCCCTGTAGGAGCGTCCGCCCTGATCTGCGACTTGTCCTCCTGGCAACCCTGCGCGACCAGGCGCGCCTTCATGATGTTCTGGCCCTTGCTGGTCAGCACCCAGCGTGCGCCCACAGGGCGCATGCCAGGGTTGCGCCGCAGGAGCGATCCTTCAGCTCCTTGGGCGGGAGCTTCTCGTAGGCGCCGAACTCCGTCCACTTGGACCACTCGGTCTTCATGGCGGCGCCCATGTTCTTCTTCTCGGCGGCGCTCAGCGCGTCGTACTTGAGCTCCTTGGCGGTCGCGTTGCTCGTGAGCAGTGCCTCGCGGAGTCGCGTACTCACGTGGGGTTCGTCCGCGTGCTTCTGGAAGTAGTTATCTAGATAGAGGTCGAACTTGTTCGTGCCCTTCGGTCTCTTGAAGCACTTGGGCAGGTCGTCCAAGAGATCCTTGCGCTTGGCAGCGCGCTCGCGGGGGTCGAGCTCGTGCTGGCGGTCACATCGCGTTGCAGTGCCACTGGTGCGTTCTCCTGTTGAACTTGGCGCTGCGTCGTGGTGCCGCGCTGGTTCTC